CCGGGGAATGAACTTATATGTACCTTTCCAGGAGAGGAAATCATGTCCCAAATCCGAAAGTCTATATCGACTTACACCATAACAAAAAGCGTTCTCCGTCAATGATCATAGCGAGTTTACCACATAAATTGTATACAAATGTTAGCATACCTCGTCTATATTTAAGAGTGCCATCACATAACCGGGAAAAAGAACATTGTGATGTTCACCCTTCCTAAGTTCCGATTGACGGAGTCGGACGACAACTATGGCAGCAAACATCGCTTCGAATGTCTTTCATTGTGTTTTGATGCTATCGTCGGTCTGAGCAGGGCCAATGAAGTATCTGGAGCACAAAGATCTTGAATTTAAAGCACTAACTTTTATACATCACAGCAGAGACGTATTATACGTCTCTGATCACAGTGACAGAATTTATTGACCAGCCCTCATAAATTTCTCCAAATTACTTCTACGGAACCCTTTCATATAGTTACATGATATGATTGCGATTTATCTTCCTTTTAAATCCGGTTTTATGTTGGGACAAAGGGTATCAGTAAAGCCCACAGTGACCTGCTCATTTGTTTCAGCTTTATTTGGAACTAAATTAAGGTGCTCAGGGTAATTTTACATGTTTAAGGGGGTTTAGATAGACTTTCGATAATAATCACACATCCAATTGATCATATATACGAGAAGGGCGGAAAGCTCTCGATGTCAAAAAGTCGACCCCACCTAACTTTCTTGCATCAAAGAAAACATTTCTAGTTGATATATGGAAAAAATGCTTAGTAACGTTGGAAAGATGGATAATTTTTGCTTTAACAAACCTCCTTTTTGCACGAGAAATGTATTCTCCTTCTGCGGACAAGATCTCCGTTTCCTCAAAAACACGCCATTTCAGAGTTTCAAAATATTTTTGCAGTCATCGTGCCACTTTTTTGCATATTGATGAGGTTGACATCAGCCTCGTGCCGAGACCCGTGGTGTGATTGGCTGGATGCGCGGCCATATTTTCGCTTCAACCAACCAACACAACGGGTCTAGTGCCCAAGGTTTAGTCTCACCTAGCATACATTTCTAAAATACCTAGCATACATTTTAATTTTCACACCTGATAACAATTTTGTTATAGTCTGTTTCAAATTGATGTAGATGGTAGTGTAATACAAATTATTATTAATAACTTATGTCTTCTTTAATCAGAGAAATATTCCATTTTTCTTTGTAAAGAATTATAATGACACGTGGTAGTAGATGAAATATAAATATATAAAAAAAAAGGATACATTTATTTTACCTGAGTAAATTACGATTTTACAGTTATTATAAAAGGTACAGTACTAGCCGCCTGCATGTTATTAAAATCTTGAATTATTGTTGATAAAGTAAAGCTTCATTAACTTACATTGATATCAAAGATTGTTTAAAATTCTGTAATGCATTATCTATAAATTTTAACTGATAAAATAACTGTTGACTGAATGTTGTTTTATTTTTTCTGATTTTGTTTGGACATACAATCCAGATAGCAAAATCATTATAATTTTCACTTTTCATAGAATTACAAATGTCAATATTGTCAACATGTATTCAATGCTTGGGCTATTAGCCCATTATATGAGGTACATGATGTACAAAAAACGATGTATAGAGAATGTATATAGATTATTTACATTATACACAATATGATTAAGTAAAGGGTTCTGATAGCTTCAAAGATAAACTTCCCTAACATCACATAGCTGTTTACTATTTTTGACACTTCATAACTGAATTTAATAGTCTTAAGGAAAACTACAATAGATGAAGTGGAAACAATATCATGAATAAATAAAATTTAACACCAGAAATCAATCTTATGTATACGTTCATATTCATTCGGTAAGACACTTTATAGTACAGACTATAGTTTACCTGTAATTAAGTCCTATTGTTCTCTAACTGACACCAAATCTCACCTAGCATACACCCAACATCTTACCTGTATGGTGTGTTCTCCTTTCTCCCACTTTTTTAAAAACACATAGAGGCAGTAATGTTGTGATAACAGTTATAGTCTGTTTCATATATATTTTACCTGTGTTCTCCCACATTACCTGTGTCATATATACAGTACTGTTATATACATATAGCTTTGATATAGTCTATTTTCATCATTTTTAGCCATTTTTTCATATCATATACCATTTTCATCACAGTTACGTGAAATTCACAAATATCATATATATGTATAGATGATAATGCTTTGATTAATTAAATTTTAATTTCAATAGATTTACTTTAGTGTGAAGCAAATTCATATTGATGCATTATTTACAGAGAATCTTTTTTACCAATAAATGCGTCTTCGGCGTAATTATTAATAACTTAGTATCACTCATTAGATTATTTTTATTTTCCCCTAAAACATAATTATTAGCTATGTTTCTTCTTGATAACCCATATTTTAACCTGAAAATATTTTTAATTTCTTATTATATGTACTTAGTCCTTGTTGCAATAATGCAATTACCATTGAATGGAAAAGGTAATAATCATTATAAATTTAAGGCATGCTATATAGGAAGTCTGTAAGTAAATGAGCATTTTGCTGNATTTTGGGTCCATCAACTGACCAATTTACTGGTGAGCATTGAGTCGACAATTAATTATACAAGTATATAAGCTTATTAAGGGACATATAAGCTGACAGTTTGCAAAGCGATTAATGACTATTAATAGAAATTCATTCTCTGTCCGGTAATAAAAAAGTGAATACATTTCATAACCTTAATGTTCGTCACTTAATTGATGCTGTGGTGATTAAACAAGTGATATTGTCCAAGCTGTATGTTTTGTAAGTATAAAAGGAAGTTGAGGGTCTCACATACTCCCCATCAACCACCAACATGGCAAATGCACAAATTCAAGTGACGTTTCTTCGTAACAAGTTTGGAAGAGAGAACATCGCGTACAACGGATATATTTACTGTGTTAACAGAGGTGAGCGTGTATATTGGAGATGTATCATCCCCAACTGTCCAGCTACCCTTAGTACCCGAAACAACATCCCTACTGGAAACGGCCGCCATCCCACATCTACAGCAGCATCCGCGTCTTCCAGGAAATACAAGCCAGCAACGAGATAACGTGCATCCAACACGCAGCAGGAGGACTAACTCAGACCACGGAATTAGAATTAGGGTTATCTAAGTCCGTGCTCAGACCAAGAGCAAAACGCTACTGTAACTGTCTATACTGATTACATTTGTCATAAATTGCTTGCTAAATTTAGTTATATTTTATGAAATATATATATAACATACATGTAAATGTATAATAAAAATGAATAAAATTGATTTAATATAAAATTAATAAAAGCTGGTTTTCAATTAATGTATTTTGATGTGTTTTTATTAAGTAATAACTAGAATCTTGTATATATTTATTCATAATTCCAGTATATATTACAAAAATCAGGATATATATTTGTTAAATATTCCTATAACTAACACAGTATTTCCTATTGGTGAACAGGTAAATACAGGTAAATAATCTACCTGTACTATACCAGAACTGACTATAATGACACCTCTATTGTTTTCCAATGTTTATATAATTCCTTTGATCAGAAAAAAGTGGGAGAAAGGAGAACAAACCCTTGGGCACGGTGTCGTCTCGCATAGCATACATTTGGTATTTTCCTATATACAGGTGGTTTGTTCTCCTTTCTCCCACTTTTTTCTGACATCCCTCATTAATATACAAAAAAGTCAAGGTCATCCATTGGAACAAACTTGTTAGCCATTCATCCAAGAATGATACTAGCCTAATATCATTACCTTAGGCCTCTTGGTTATTTAGAAGAAGTTGTTAAAAAGTTTTAAACATATATGATCCCTGTGACCTTGGAAATGGGCAAAGGTCATTCATTTGAACAAATATCATCACCCTAGGCCTCTTCGTTATCTAGAAGAAGTTGTCTGAAGGTTTTTAACATATCTGACCCCTGTGTCCTTGAATATAAGTCAAGGTCATTCATTAGAACAAACTTGGTAGCCATTCATCCCAGCATGCTACTGGCCAAATATCATCACCCTTGGCCTCTTGGTTAAAATAAGTTGTTTGAAGGTTTCAACATATTTGACCCCTGTGACCTTGAATATAAGTATAAGTCATTCATCTCAGCATATTACTAGCCAAATATCATCATCCCAGGCCTTTTGATTACTGAGAAGTTGTTGAAAGTAAAAAGTCTACGGCAGACCACAGACGCTGCACCTCAGATGAGCAAAACACATCACATAAATGTCTATTCCACAATGAGGGTACATAATCGTTTCACTGTGTAGGATACACACCCAAAAGTAGCAGTGAACAGCAAGAGATTTGCAAACGTTTGTTTTTCAGTTTTTATGGTAGAAGAAAGACAACTCCATGAACTTTATTTTATAACACTTTCTCTGGCTTAAAACAGATGGAATTTACATTATGTTGTAATAATTAACTACACGTATATTAATATTTTCTTATTCAAATGAAATCTAAACAAATGATAAAATAAATTTAAACAATTCATTTCTTCCAGATAAGCCATCAGTGTTTGACAATATTAAATACCAAACAGAATGTTCAGAGGTACATATTTATATATAAAAGTGATAGCTTTCTCCAAAATCAAAAATTGTTCAAAATTCGATATAGAAAGTTATCAATTGAACATAAGCTATTTTTTGGTATTTCCAGGAGTGAATTATGATTGAACAAAAGCTAACATATGAGATTTTTTTGGCTAATAAATATGTTTCCCAACTTCATTACATGTAGCTTTGCACTATTTGACCTTTGACCTACAGGTGAATGCCACAAGAAATATAAGTCGTACCTAAATAAAACAGCAACCCCATTAACTGACAAAATTTGAATTAGCTGGACTAGTGGAGCATGAAGGTTTTGTTTCGTAACAAATTTCCCTTTTGATATAGATATGTACAGTAAAAACAAACTACTCTACAGAAATAAAAAAGTAAACAATGTTTAATGTACAATACAATTTAATGATTTCCTTAATCATCAAAATTTAGTATGCCATAAAGATGCCACAAAACAGCTACAAGTTAATAGTGCAATACACAACAAATGTTCAGTTTTCTTCAAACCACCCTCAAAATGTCTTGGAACCTGGAAACAAATATTGGGCTTTTAGAATCTGTATGCAACCCTCCAACTTCTACTTTTCAAATCACTGGTCCAGCCATTAAATTCACATCATTTATCCCCAATTTTTTATTTCAAAACAATCCATAAAAACTCTATGAATTTTGTGAATGAAGAATTTGAATCAGTGATATGTCACAACGCTTGAAATTGGCAGAATAAATCTGAACCCACATACACAGCCACCATTATCACTGTAGTTCTAGGCACACTGAATGTCAATATCTCGCTATATGTCCCATACTCGGGACAAAACACAACATTCTTCTTATACATGCCCTTATCACAAAATAGTTTTGTTCTTCTGCAAAAAACGTCCTGATTCCAGACCCCAGCTACCAGAAAGGTTGGCAGGATTGTTTTCCTCCAACAATGAGAGTTGGTTACCTGATAGAATCCATACAAACTATTTTTATTTTATATGTTATCTTCTTATAACAAATAATAAGTTAAACAATCAAACTCAGTTTGGATAGCCAATTTATATATATTTATAATAGACATTGACATCTATTTCGTTTTAAACCTTAGCGTCCCACATATCATCAACGCATTAATCACACATGTTCTCCTAACAAAATGAATAGTGTGCAGACAACATTCATTCACATAGTCTCTCATTAGAGTGCTTGGCACCAGACACACATACATTTAATTTATATTTTTTTTTACAGTATATCCATTTTTTCTTTCTCGTTCACTGCACACAGTCGTAACTTTCTTCTTCCACGAAAGGTTTTCTGTGAAAGATATCACAATATCATCACCACACAAATCAGCATATTGAAATCATTTATTGTGATGGTGTAATACAAAGACAGAATTTGATTGTTATATTATAATCAAATGTCTCTACACAACATTGTTTGATCAACATTTACCAACAGCACTCTACTTCAGTAACCGTAAGTACACGTACCTATTGCAAACAAAAAATCAAGTTTGCTTTTTATGTAACTACAGAATGAAGGCCTGTACAGGTGACGATCAAGTGAGTTTTGGATAGAACATCTGGCTTTTTCTTAAAATCACAAACCCTTATTTCTGGACATATTCCGCTATATACATGCAAAAAAACAAAACAAGAAGGAAAAAAACAAAAACAAACAAACAGGAACACAAAATCTTGAGTCAATAAGAAAAAAACACATTGGCTAGTTATTAAATATGTTGACAGAAGCTGCTTCGGGAGTGTACAATTTCATGTTTTAAAGCACTAGCCAACTAGCATATTTTCAAATATTCCACATGCCCAACCTATACTTTCATACTTGATATTGAAAATTTTTCTCTAGTTTGGACACAGACTTTTCTAGTCTTCGGCATTGGGCTAGTAGAATTATACAACCCTGTGCTTATCTATTCTCTATCTGTTGATTTTTTTTTAAGAAACTGTTCAATACCACCGTAATTTAATGTTGCAGAGATTAAATGGTTTAATTTTCTACAAAAAAGCTCAACTGACTTCCGGTTTTGAGAAAAGTAGAGAAATTTATAAGATCCAATAAAGCAAACAAGTGTTTCAATAATATACCGCAGGTACACTGATTAATCATTTATCTTGAATATATAGACATAACAGCAGGAACATGGTGTACCTGCTTTTATTTGAAAAACTTCTTTTTAACAAAAATCCTTTTGAATTGTAAAATAAAAAAAAAAATGCCTCTATTAAATATTTTAATTAAATCAGTATCACAAGACAAACCAAGAGGCCCTTGAGCCTTAAAGGTTCACCCAGTCTTTTATTGTATTTAAACTTAAAACCTATCAAATACTTTATACAGGTTATGTTAACAAGACAGTGAGCAGGCACCCTTCAATACTAAAAGGCAGACTCTCTGTTATTATTACCTGTCTCCTTCAACAAACCATGTTCCAGTTTTTAAAGGAAAAATTAATGACGAACACCATGGAATAAACTTACTTGAATCTCTGGCCTAAGTGAGCTAAACACTAAATTGATTTCAATCTGCATAACTATAATGTTAAAAGTTTTAGAAAAGGGAGTTTTCTTCACACCAACAGTCATAAAAGGTGAATTCCTTCATCAGCTACTTTTGTTGTTTGTTGCACAAATTCAAATCACTTTGACAGCCTAACATTTGTAATTCCAAAGTACTCAATTAACTTTCAGACATATCAAATAAGGATTGTGCCAACATGAATTTTCAGAAATAAAATAAAAGAACAAAAAAGAAAGGAAAAAAAGCATACTGAAGTATTGAAATGCAGTAGATATCTCTCACCGTGACACACTGGCTAATCACGTGACAGACACTTATACATGTACAAATACATCAATTTTTGTTCAGTCTTTCTGATGCCATCTGCTAGAATAAGATTAAAATGATTTGACCTTTGGCTTTGACAATTTGGGTATAAACCTGAGAATCGTACACGACACAATGTCCAGTTGTGACTAATTCATTTAAAAAGGTTCATCAAAAATGTTCAGCTGTCGAAATGCTATGACTTGGACAAAACAGAATGGATGGATGGACAGGCAGACAGATGGGCGTTATCGGCTTGCCCCCCATCGGTTCCACCGGTAGGGGACAAATATGATAACAGCAACACTATCAGAAACTAATTACTTAAAGAGACAAAGCAAACAGAATATTTACATGACATTTTTTTACAATAAGATGTATTCAAAATATTGTAAATAATATTTAACACATATATTAATGCAAATAAAAAATTAAATTATAAAGTGTTTCACACATTCTATCAAAAGGAATATATTCATCACAAGGTATGGCAACATAACAATCACCATAGTAGTCATTCTAACACACCATCACACTACCAAACTCCTTTTATGCAGACTATAAAAGTCTATAAATGCGATGTCTTGACAAAAACAACATAGCTAGTATAAATAGTTCATCACAAATTTATAAGGGAACACAATGGAAGCCAGCAAAATTGTTTCAAAGTTTTTGTTTTGGAAAAACTTAAGAAATATAAATTAGTGTAGGATCAGACAGTAAGAAAAAAGTATATACACCATGTATACCAAAGTGACAACACACAAGGACACAATTTAACTTGAAATTAACACGAAAGCCTACTAAAAGAGATCATGAGGGAACACTTGAAACAATGACACTCATACAATATGCTTATCTTATTCGATTTAGAAATAAAGTTCAGACTAAGGATGTTCTGTAATAATTCATCATTAAAATTCCTTGGGTTTCGCGCACTTACTTTCTTTACACTTCTGAAATATGTCAAGATAAAATCAAGGTATATGCAGCTAGCTATTTGAGGCTGGTACATGTTCTCTGAAGATTATGAAGTAGCAACACCTGACTTTGGAGTCAATTTTACTGTTATGCTTCATCCCGACCCTTCTGATGGACCTCAAAGGATCAAACTACCCATAAGGTTATGTCTTCAGTTTTATCATGACATATTCCAAGGTTGCACAGAACATAAGGAGAGCGTAACCACTGGCATTTTGAAGATGTTAACAATCTGACAACAAGAACAATAAATTGATAATTTCCAAAGATAGTTATTTCAAAGAGATTCAACAGGGCAGACACCCATATGATGCCATTCTTTGTTTAGTAACATTACTGATTGTCTGAGGACTCTCCAGTTTATATCCTGAATGTCATGAACTATCTAAAATTAATCTGTATAATTTCCTTAATCTTAAAACAATTCCATAACAAATTCATTTTTTTTTTTTATATAAAAAATCAAAATCTCTTGATGAGGTCAAATACATAACTGTATATTATTATAACCGTATTGATTTGAGATCAAGTTTGACTGGTAATGTATTTTTTATATCCAGGGAAGCTGATCCTTGTTACAAAGCAAATCATGAAATAATGTTGGTGCTTATTTTATAGATATGATAGCCAGAAAGGTAGTCCCTTGGGATCATCATTTTGAGCTTAAACTGTATATATTTGTTTAAATCTCAATTTATCTTTTTCACTTGCACTGTTAGCTTTAAAGTTAATTATCATCTGTAAAATAACTGTGCTAACTGATACTGACACCAGAAATGTGCAGTCTGTCATGCTAATAAACCACAACGCTACATCTGATTGATTGTCAATGACACTATTTGTTCGTCAAATCTGTGACTGACAAATACTATACTGAGAAGTACTGCTGAAGGAAAGTTAAGACATCACTTATATTGATGGAGGAAATAAAAAAGAAATGCGGAGAGAAAACTGTCTCAAAATGATACCATTTTACGACTCAATGTTATGTTGAATGGTTAAAATGCAGAAAGTTTCATCAATGTCATGGGTAATTATATGATTTAAGTCTGGTGTTAAGTTCCTATCCTTGTAGAGGAATTACACACATCATGATCACAAACAACTTACACAAACACATTCCATATCTTACTCAGGTCACATGACTCTTGTAAAGAGGTCACATGACCTTATGTTGTTAACAAATCACATGGGTCTAATTCCAAACACGTCACATGACCTATGCTGCTAACAAATCACATGGCTCTTATGCCAAACATGTCACATGACACTTGTTCCTGACAGACCAAAAGATTCCTGCTGCTGAACAATTCACATGACATTTGTATGACATTTCCTGAGGTGCAAAATCTAGCCGCCTCCAGGTCTAGGTTCCGTATTGATCACAACTAAGACCGTCTTTGTCGAGTCCATTTGGCAATCTTTTCCTTCATTTCAGTGGCTGAAGAAAACAAAACCAAAATTTATCTGAATATCTCCTTAAAACGTTACAGCTGATACATTTCACAGACAACCAGTGAACACATCTTACACAAATGAATGTTCAGTCAATAAATTTGAATATTGGTAGACAGGTTTCAATGTACAAGTACAAAAACATCTTGTCTACTTACCAGGCTCAAGCTGTTCTTCAGTAAGAGGCTGTCTATTGAATGGGTCTGTCTGAGAATTGAGGAGATGTCTCATAATAATTCCTCGCTCCATTATGGCACCGCTTGGCAACATCACAGGGTCTACCATCAGTGTGTCCATAAGTGGATCTAAACAACAGCCAAAGTAAAACTGTACAAACCTACTAGATCAAAACAATGTGGATCTAAACACAGCCAAAGTAAAACTGTACAAACCTACTAGATCTAAACAGCCAAAGTAAAACTGTACAAACCTACTAGATCTAAACAGCCAAAGTAAAACTGTACAAACCTACTAGATCAAAACAATGTGGATCTAAACAACAGCCAAAGTAAAACTGTACAAACCTACTAGATCAAAACAATGTGGATCTAAACAACAGCCAAAGTAAAACTGTACAAACCTACTAGATCAAAACAATGTGGATCTAAACAACAGCCAAAGTAAAACTGTACAAACCTACTAGATCAAAACAATGTGGATCTAAACAACAGCCAAAGTAAAACTGTACAAACCTACTAGATCAAAACAATGTGGATCTAAACAACAGCCAAAGTAAAACTGTACAAACCTACTAGATCTAAACAATGTGGATCTAAACAACAGTCAAAGCAAAACTGTACAAACCTACTAGATCAAAACAGCCAAAGTAAAACTGTACAAACCTACTAGATCAAAACAATGTCGATCTAAACAACAGTCAAAGCAAAACTGTACAAACCTACTAGATCTAAACAGCCAAAGTAAAACTGTACAAACCTACTAGATCAAAACAATGTGGATCTAAACAACAGCCAAAGTAAAACTGTACAAACCTACTAGATCAAAACAATGTGGATCTAAACAACAGCCAAAGTAAAACTGTACAAACCTACTAGATCTAAACAATGTGGATCTAAACAACAGCCAAAGCAAAACTGTACAAACCTACTAGATCTAAACAGCCAAAGTAAAACTGTACAAACCTACTAGATCTAAACAATGTGGATCTAAACAACAGCCAAAGTAAAACTGTACAAACCTACTAGATCAAAACAATGTGGATCTAAACAACAGCCAAAGTAAAACTGTACAAACCTACTAGATCTAAACAATGTGGATCTAAACAACAGCCAAAGTAAAACTGTACAAACCTACTAGATCAAAACAGTGTCGATCTAAACAACAGTCAAAGCAAAACTGTACAAACCTACTAGATCTAAACAGCCAAAGTAAAACTGTACAAACCTACTAGATCAAAACAATGTGGATCTAAACAACAGCCAAAGTAAAACTGTACAAACCTACTAGATCAAAACAATGTGGATCTAAACAACAGCCAAAGTAAAACTGTACAAACCTACTAGATCAAAACAATGTGGATCTAAACAACAGCCAAAGTAAAACTGTACAAACCTACTAGATCAAAACAATGTGGATCTAAACAACAGCCAAAGTAAAACTGTACAAACCTACTAGATCAAAACAATGTGGATCTAAACAACAGCCAAAGTAAAACTGTACAAACCTACTAGATCTAAACAATGTGGATCTAAACAACAGTCAAAGCAAAACTGTACAAACCTACTAGATCAAAACAGCCAAAGTAAAACTGTACAAACCTACTAGATCAAAACAATGTCGATCTAAACAACAGTCAAAGCAAAACTGTACAAACCTACTAGATCTAAACAGCCAAAGTAAAACTGTACAAACCTACTAGATCTAAACAATGTGGATCTAAACAACAGCCAAAGTAAAACTGTACAAACCTACTAGATCTAAACAATGTGGATCTAAACAACAGTCAAAGCAAAACTGTACAAACCTACTAGATCAAAACAGCCAAAGTAAAACTGTACAAACCTACTAGATCTAAACAATGTGGATCTAAACAACAGTCAAAGCAAAACTGTACAAACCTACTAGATCAAAACAGCCAAAGTAAAACTGTACAAACCTACTAGATCTAAACAATGTGGATCTAAACAACAGTCAAAGCAAAACTGTACAAACCTACTAGATCAAAACAGCCAAAGTAAAACTGTACAAACCTACTAGATCTAAACAATGTGGATCTAAACAACAGTCAAAGCAAAACTGTACAAACCTACTAGATCAAAACAGCCAAAGTAAAACTGTACAAACCTACTAGATCAAAACAATGTCGATCTAAACAACAGTCAAAGCAAAACTGTACAAACCTACTAGATCTAAACAGCCAAAGTAAAACTGTACAAACCTACTAGATCTAAACAATGTGGATCTAAACAACAGCCAAAGTAAAACTGTACAAACCTACTAGATCAAAACAATGTGGATCTAAACAACAGCCAAAGTAAAACTGTACAAACCTACTAGATCTAAACAATGTGGATCTAAACAACAGCCAAAGCAAAACTGTACAAACCTACTAGATCTAAACAGCCAAAGTAAAACTGTACAAACCTACTAGATCTAAACAATGTGGATCTAAACAACAGCCAAAGTAAAACTGTACAAACCTACTAGATCAAAACAATGTGGATCTAAACAACAGCCAAAGTAAAACTGTACAAACCTACTAGATCTAAACAATGTGGATCTAAACAACAGCCAAAGTAAAACTGTACAAACCTACTAGATCTAAACAATGTGGATCTAAACAACAGTCAAAGCAAAACTGTACAAACCTACTAGATCAAAACAGCCAAAGTAAAACTGTACAAACCTACTAGATCAAAACAATGTCGATCTAAACAACAGTCAAAGCAAAACTGTACAAACCTACTAGATCTAAACAGCCAAAGTAAAACTGTACAAACCTACTAGATCTAAACAATGTGGATCTAAACAACAGCCAAAGTAAAACTGTACAAACCTACTAGATCTAAACAATGTGGATCTAAACAACAGTCAAAGCAAAACTGTACAAACCTACTAGATCAAAACAGCCAAGGCAAAACTGTACAAACCTACTAGATCTAAACAATGTGGATCTAAACAACAGCCAAAGTAAAACTGTACAAACCTACTAGATCTAAACAGCCAAAGTAAAACTGTACAAACCTTCTAGATATAAACAACAGTCAAAGCAAAACTGTACAAACCTACTAGATCTAAACAACAGCCAAAGCAAAACTGTACAAACCTACTAGATCTAAACAACAGCCAAAGCAAAACTGTACAAACCTACTAGATCTAAACA